ACCACAACTTCGTGGGGCTTAGTTGGCTTTAATTTTCGTCAAAATCAATCGCAAATTCTGGAACATTCGCCAAATTCGTTTAATCCGACTGGTCAGAGAATACATTGCATGCGGCATGTCAAGCGATCTGCTGTGTTTACTTAACTAGATGTAGTACTTACGAACACCTAGTTGTGATTAGTCCTGTCTCACTTCAGCTTCCATACTGTAATAAGCCTGATTAAACCAAGCACTATATACGTATGGTTATAAAGTCTAAATACTCAGGATAAATCAACAAATTGAACTTTCGGCACCGTTTCGTTAGGTTTGTTGTCATTTGGATCATGTCAAATGCTTGAAATTCATGAAACATTAACAATATTTGATGAAAACTCTTGAGAAACGGCACTTTTTGAAGTAATTCGGCTACATACAGCCCAAAATAGTCTTGATCGTACAGATTAAATACCAAGTACCGTTTCTCTTTTCCGAATGTATATAAGTATACGACCAAAAAATGGTGTCTTTCCGAAAGTTCTTTCAGTGGGTAACAAACATTGGTAGACACCTGAATTCTCGTTTGCAAAATTTTTCGTCGATATATGGGTACGTGAATAATGTGTCACATTTCTGATCACTAAGTCAACGAAAATATAAGATATAACGAGGCGCATTCACGATTTGTTGATGAACGATCAAAATCCGTTTCCATCACATTAACACTGAAGTCCGCTTGCCCATTATAACTGATCCCCCTACACAACGGGGCTCATTCCATCCAATCCGCAGCCGACCCAGTCAGTCAAGCCTTCTGGGCTACACTGTCTTAGCAGAGGAGTTCAAAACTGAGAGATAATCAAACTTATCAAATCGACAGACTGAGCTTGCCGAGGTTTGCGTGCCTATACGTTCATGCGTTCAGTTGAATATATCGCCAACAACTCGCTATAAAAGTAACCCCGAAAAACCCAACCCACATTAGTAAGAAGTCGTGTTTGGCTTCGTCAACTTCAGCTTACCTGTCGACTAATTCGAAGAGGAATGATTTACTCAAATGTTATACAAAATATCCACAGTTTAGTGCTCACACGTGAACAAAAACAGCTAAACATTGAATGCCTCATTCGGCTCTCGCAAGTTTCGACAGCACTTGGCAAGCGACGTTCTCACGGACAGACTAGCTGTTTGAGCACAATCAACCTACGATGCCTGCCAGATGCGGAATGTTGCGTGAAGCTGTACCATCGTTTGCATAACCAAACGCTGTCCAATCAAAGCTTACGTATTGCGGTCTTTTCGTCTGGTGTACGCACTCCGACAGCACCCACGCATAAGCACATTCGGTTGGACAATGCTCACATCACCTGTGAAGTCTGAACACATCAGGGCATGCACACCCTCATGCACACAAACTTCGGCAGACGCGAAACTACAAAGCTGTATGTGGTGATATGACATTCGTCCTATCGATTGTTTGCCAGGACAGAATTGAAACAGCCTTTTCGCACATAAGTTTGGCTTGCAGTTGATCAAGGTTCAAACGACATGCCAGCCAACCATTCACCATAAATTGGGCTGACGTTCAGTAATTCCATCACGGTCACCCGCAACTCCAAATCTGCAAGACATGTACTCAGCACCGGATGATAGCTGGTTACCGGAGATCCCGACGGATTACAATGGAATCGCCCATCAGAATGGTCACTCTGATTGCAAGGCTTTCGAGGAAACTAACCCAAACCTTTGGGAACCCGTAAGCCACTTCATTCATTAGGCTTAACGCTTAAAGAAGAGCTTATTATTTGCGAATTTTCCAATTCTCTCGCCCTAATTGACTCCGGGAATCAGTTATTTCCTCGTTGCTTTAACACATACATTCTGTAAATAACCAACTTTATCACATATTAGCGCTAGCTGAGGCTTGCATTCAGCAGATATAACCATTCTACATCACAGACAATTCTGATTAATTATGTAATGATCAATTCGGGGATTCAGCTGAGTCTTTGATTAGGGTACTGATAAGATTTTGACAGTCACACTAGTGCCTCCTGTAGACCAGTGATATTTTCCCGTCAAAAGTTACACGATCAGGCATGTATCTGCTACCGGATTATCGATTCAGCTGGGGCCTACAACGGCATGCTTTGCGTAACACTATTTGTTCGTAAACAAACAGAATTCAATCATACCTAGGTGGAATTTATGACTGGAAAAGACAAAAATCATTTGTCAGTTTCTCACCCACGTGTATGTATTCGGAGGTATTTCCATGTTCAGGAATATTACAGTATTGGGTAAGCTACAGTGCTGAGCATACTTGCGCTTGTAGTGGATTCGTCACACGAAGTCCTATCAAAATCACGTGGTTTAATATCGAGCGCTGAACCCGGTGTGCACGGAAATAATAACCTCCTGTCAAAATGGAACTAGAATATGAATGAAATGACTTACTGTGTGTTATTTGTTCTTGTGACAGTTGCACTGCATTCATTCGAAATGGCTACCGATTGCCTTTGAAACGTTACTTTATTTGGCAACTACGCAGAATGAATGCATTTGTCATATGCCATATCGTTGTATCCACTATGGGAGTTAACCTGTTAGTCGGTGAACTGGTGTAAAACTCAAAGAACGGATAGGAAGTTTGATCTGATATTTTATACGAAGATCACGAATTGTCCAGATGTGAAATGATTTTTGACACGTCAACTACTCGCTACACTTTTCTAGAAGAAATCAGCTTGGCACTGATCAAACAGTTTCGTTGAGAGTTTGACTTCAAGAAAGAATTTTAAACATGAATACGAAATGCATTTGGGCCTTTTTTCAATGAAACTTGTTTCAAATTATATGAGGATTATTTGCTGAATCGATACTTGGCTAAGTATAGCGCGTGCCACGAATCTCTGGTCCGTTCACAAAGCACTGAATGCTTCCATCCATCATGTAGTGTTTCAGACTCGGAGATAAGTTGTCCTCCCGTGACACTAGCAACATCAATGTTGTCGTACTTTTCGAGGTACCACAATCCATAAGTTCCTTGAAATTTTGTGCCCTCCTTTGCTTTGACCTTTGCAACAACTGGTCCAGTGATGCGAGGTGAAATGTATTACTTAGGACTGAAATTTATACGGAGCACATAGATTGTCATCCCACTGATGGTTCAGTAATTTTTTCCAATCCTTTTCAAGACATAAATGAACGTATCCAGCTTTCATGCTTTTGGTCATAGAGACCGTATGAACTAAGACCACACTGACTGCTTTATGCTTGCTCCTTGACTGGCCAAGTCACGGACTGTCAAGTTTCTGTCAGCTCAATAAAAAGCGCGAAAACGAAATATTCATGTGTTTACCAGAATATTTAGAAAAGTCGTCAAAACTCTTTTACAGTACGCCGCAACGTGAAGTGATGTAAAACTGCTAAGTAAATGATATCTACTCGAAGCCGGTAGTTGATTCATTTCTGATCAACGATCATGAATGTTGATCCTTCGTGACAACTGCTATCGTCAACAGTATTTTATCCTTTCATATATAGCAGTATTCATCTGGTCTCTGAGGTACTGGGTGTTTGGGAAGTCATTGCAATTATGAGTTGTCGCCGTTAGTCATGCTTCACAATTCTAGGCAAATACAGAATAAATCCGTCACTTTTATGCACATACGAATCCAATACCGCTCAGTGGAAAGCGTCGTTGGGACACAGCATTGCAATATATTTTTTGAATAAACAATGAAGAAAAATGTTAATCCTGTAACAGCCGTAAATGCCCATCTTCCAAAAGTGGTTTTGGCTTTAGTGCAACGTATCGTTTGGCTGTGGCTTCAATGGCTAGTTTTTTTTGCGGGTTATTCGGACCGAAGCAATTTTAGTGGATGGTTCTTGAGCGGCGGAGAAGATCAGCGCCACATAAAGTTGTTGGAAATGACCGGAAGCCATACCAACGAACCGACACAAATCAGCGGTCGATCAACCTAAGACACCAGATGAACAAGGTGTTGATGATGTACACTTCAGCTTTAAACTGAGAAGCACTGATTGGGTTATTGGTTGTGACTTTCACATAATCTCTGTAAAACTTTCCCCGGGGTTAAGAGTTTTAAATAAATGAAAACTTGCTCAATTATCCACTATCTGTTTAAAGACTTTTCATCATCCAATTAAACTAAACTTTCCTGATTGTTTGTTAGCAACTCCTAGTCGTTACCCGGAGGTACCGAAAGGTAGATGAATGGTTTGGAGAGGGCCCAATCGACAAATCATGGTAGAAAGAATAGCAAACCGAGATGTAATAAATCAGGAGAATTAAGATGGCTCGTCTACTGAGTCTCCGAAGATAGTAGTGAATATTTTATACAACAAAATGTTTACTAAAAACTTATTTTGAATACGGATACTATTGACCCTGTGGGTGCTGTTACATGCTTGGCAACTCCATTCACCTGCTTTCCACATAAGGCCCTGGTGTCCTTTTTGGCATATTCTTGTATGACTTGGAAAGTGGCCAGACCAGTAGTGCGTATAATTTGCTGATTACTCTATCAACGAGCTGACAAAGAAAGGTCACCTTGTAAGTCAAAATATTTGGCTTGTTTGGATTTATATACTTGCTGTATAGTAGTTCTATCTCTAGTGAACATCTGGCAGCATCATTCCTCTTTTGTGTCCTTCAACCTCAGTTCGTATATCGGCACTCAAACCAGATGTTTTGATCCAAGCAACCAACTCAGAATCAGTCGTCCTCGGCTTTTCATTTTTATTTGGTGTCGAAAGTTAGTAAGGTTTGAAACGTCTTACGTAGAACTACTGGGACGGCTCCATGTTTACCGATGTTTCAACAAATTCCAATATTTTGGTGTCCACAGCGGACTTTGGGCCACACGGATGCCCAACCCATTTGTTTATAAATGCTGAAATAAAGCTCCACTTGAATAATCTGACATTAAATAACATCTACTTCAGTTGGTATCATTGTAACCTATTGGTCAATATTTTTTCCTTTCTCCGTTTAGGAGGGCCCCATTGTCCAGCCGATTCCGGACAACCTTATGGTTGGCGACTACATTGAAATAAACGGAATTTGTCGTGGGCCCGAGTAAGCTTCTACTCAATTTCTGTTAGACTAAAAAGTGTCTTCTGGTTGTTTGACGTACAGCGCGCACATTTTTACACTAAATTTACTGTTTGAGTCCATCACCGCCAACTGAAACTTTTTGTTTGTTCTCTTGCTCGCAACGCAAATTGTCGGTCAATACTGATGAAAACACGACAATCAAGAAGGCTAAAATGCTGTCCTTATCGAAGTATTAATAAAACTATTAAAATAGAAATGTAACAGAGAAACCTAAACTCCAATGAAGTATGTGGATGGATAGTCTTAGTAGGGATGGAAAATTGTCTGGAATGAATGATCATTTGCACTCGGACTTAAGAAGTACTATATCCTGCACAAGTTTATTTTTTACTGTCAGCCCTCTCTTGATCACGAACGCATTTATCATCATTTTGTACTCCAAACTTCTTTTTTTGACACCAAATGGAGTGATTGGCATCATCACATAAGGAGTACTTCGAATTCAATCGACAAGCATTGGACGCGGGTGGATCACGTGGCCTTTTTGCACTGTTCACCAACTGCTGCCGCACTTATACCAAGGCGTTGCTTTCTTTGAATTCCGGAATATTTGTTGATAAACTTCACTAGACTGACCTATATGTTTCAAACTTACTACTCCTTCCCGTGATTAGAACATTTGCACAGATATTTGTATGCGTGAATCTGTGGGACATTAGTCCCTGGATTCAGCCGGTCAACACAAAAACATCATTCGGGTGCCTTACGTAAGGCACAATATGCAAAAATTTTCCCCGATGAGGTTTCGGACCTCTCAAGCGATCTCAGACATCCGTTTGAAATACGGCCCGGTAAACCATTCCGAGAGCGGACGTTCTGAGTAATAATCAGATGTAGTCGGTCAGCTAAATCTGTTGTTCTCCGGCGGTTATACAGCCTACCTCTGCTTTCCATGTAAAGGAGCCTTGCTACTCACTCAAATTTCAAGATGTATAGTCCGGCTAAACTTTTACTACTAATAACATCTACCAACAACGACTATATTTCCGGGTACCAAACTATAGGATTCAAGAATTCGTCAAATTCAAATAGACACTTTGTTGCTTAAAAACAGATGAAGAGAAACAGTGTATTACCCTCGTGTGACTTGTCTAATTGTTAGTTTGAATGTATCCTAACAGGTTTGCAAGCATACTGGTCAGTAACTGTGCCTGCTGACTGAGTACGCACTGACGGTACATTCATCAACTCCTGACGGCATAGGACGAATAAAAATGTGAACACGAGAATTTTAACTTGGCCAACGCAAATACGCTGTGCACTGGATGATTCAGTGTTCAGTTATGGTTTCAAAATAATATACTTCAGTGAAACTATCTGATCCAGGCGGTAATGGTCATGTTAAACACCCATAGCACTTTCGTCACAGGCTTCAATGAGGTCACACAATACTACAGCATTTGCTTTCTGACTTGGGTAATTAAATCGTGTGTCTCCATACAGCAATGTACACTGGGTGTTTCCGGAGACACTTACTTGTGTTCTCAAAATTAGTTATCCCAATTCCCACTATTTTCATTACCCACGCAAGTTCGTAACTTCCCACAGACTTGCGTAACAAGGATGCTTTCTTAGTGACATTTCACTGGACCCGTCTTTGTCTGTTCGGGTGTTGGAGTACCTAAGTTTTGATGCATTATGTGGGGTGAACCCCCCCCCCCCCCCCCC